GTTTTCTTGGCTCAAAGATAGTTTGCACACCAATAAATAATATTACATTGAGTATCATTAAAGCAACCGTACCGTATGTAGATGCGCTACGGATCTTATCACTCCAGACCTGTTCTTCATGATATCGTAACATAATTGATCTTGTTAACTCTGTATATTCTTGTTCAACTTTTTGTTCACATTTCTGAAATTCTTCCCTGGCTGATGATTCAATTTGTTCGTTCATGTGTTCATTTTTGTAAAGTTGTGTAAATCTCAGAACATCGTCACTTGACCATTGATGTTTACGTTGAAGCAATTCATTGATTTCGCGTTGCGTTGCGGATCGCGCAGCAATAATTTCTTCATATGCAAGTTTAGCGGCTGCAAGACATTTTCGTGCTGTCTCAAATTCTTTCTCTATTCATCGAATTAAATGTAATATATGTAAAATATATAAAATGTAAATGATAATTTTATTAATAATAAATAATTTTAAATCAAGGGAATAAGAGATTACCCCTCTGAATCACCTTTTCTTTTAAGTTCTCCACTACACTGTATCCTGTCAATCTATTTAAATTATTAGATGCAGTGGAAAGTACATCCTTAACACCATTAACTTTCATAGCTTTAGTAAATTCGTTTATTCGCTTAAGTAATGGTTGTTTTTGAACGTTGGACTTAGGTTGGGATATTATATCCGTGGAAGCTTGCACTTTGGAAAGAAATGAGGATAAACTGGTGTGCAATTTAGATGCATTTTTAGATGCATTTTTAATTTGTTGAAAATCTGAATGCTCTTTTGACTTTTCGTCTGTTGAATAACTATTATTTAGTGAAAATTTTATAAGACAATTAAAAGGTTTCCTATAAATTATGCAATTACGCTGATCACGCGGTAAAATCGAAGTCTGTGATACGGCATATTTGCATAACGACTTCATAGAATTTCGAAATGTGGGAAACATGCAAAATATTCTCGAACTTTTTGATTCTATGCAGCCCGAGACTTAATTGATGATCTATTTATACGAAAAGATTAAATTTCTAAATTTAGTATATACTTGATTATTGATGAAATGCACATGTACCTTACAGGTTATCTTGCAACTTTGAAATTTTGGCGGGTTGTTTTTTATCTATGACATTATTAAAATAAAGTACGAAGTAGGTATATTAAACTTTTTTTTTAACTTTGAATCTTATTTAAATAAATCTAATACACTGTAAACTCTTATGCATAATTTGAATAACAATAGAAGTAAAACAAGAATCAAACACTACCTTTCATCGGAACTATAGCCTTCAACAACGGTCAATGATATGATATGTATGCACCCTCTGCTGACGATTCAATGTACACAGATTCCTCACCAGCAGAAACTAGTAACAACGAATATGAAAATGGTCAACATGGAATTGGTGCGGTAAGAAGTATTCGGGTTAGTTGCGTTTTAATTATTTTCAGATCCAAAAAAAAATACCCTACCCTTTTAGTTTTAACATTTTTGTTTGCTATTTAAATCTATTACATTATTTTTTATATGAAGGATATACTTAATGCTGATAGTCAGTCACCTATTAAACGTGAAGAACCCGAAGTAGATGTAACTGGTGAAGAACCTTCTGCGACAGAAGACCAACCATCACCTCTAAAATTTGATGATCAATTTGGGGAAGTTGTTGACGAAGAAAGAGATAAAATACAAAGACTGAATATGCGTCATCCCCATAATAATACTGCCGTTAGAGATTATCTAAATAAAACCGTTGTACCTAGTCTTATGGCGGGACTAAAAAAAATTGTTAGAGAAAGGTAATGTAATTTTTCGTAATTCGATTCCATGTAAACGTTTTAATGAATATAATAATTTAATTTTTTTTTTTTAAACCAAAAAAATTGGTGTAATTAAAGGCCGACAGATCCATGCGAATTCTTAGGCAGATATTTAATTGATCATTGTCAACATGATCATACTAAAGACGAATATGGTTCAGAAATGCGAATAAAACATGAAGATACTGATGATTGTGAACGAACAACAACCCGACAGAAACAAAGAAGAGATAGTAATTCAAGTTTGGACGTAGGTTCAGAAATGGATGTTGATATGATATTGAATCCTTAATCAAATACAGGTTGAATATTATTATTATTTTTTTTTTTTTTGTTGCAATAGGTTTTTAAAGACTCATAAAAAGAAAGCAATAATAAAAAGATCTGTTATATATTTTAAACCTTTAGTCTTTTGTAAACGATACTTTGTGTGATACCATTTTATCACAAAAATCGTATCATTCTACGGGCCACAATAAATTTAAATAAAATAATATTTCATATATAAAAATCTTTGATTATTTAAAAATTTTCTGTACATGAATACTTTAGTTGTTTAATTAAATAAAAGTTAAGTACATATGTGATCAAAAATTAAGTGAATTTTGTAAATCTATGTTGCTATGCTGGCAAAAAATTAATGGAAATCAAGTTCTGCTATCTGATAATTATTAAGATATAAACAATTCACTTTGAATATTTTAAATTTATGGTGCAGCTGATAATGTATCTGATGTTGTCCAATCAGGTACTTGTCCTGTATATTTCTCTCTAGTGATTTCAACAACAGTGGATTTGAGTGATCCAATTAAAGAACCTGAAGTATCATAAAATTCGGTAAGCAAATGCTTTATTATCAGTAAAAGCATAACATTTAAACGTAAATTAGTTTGAAATACTTTACCACCAACCCATGCTCGACAATTGGCCACAAAAACTTTACCACTTCCATTGTCTTCTAAAAATTCAAAATGATCTGCAAGTCCACTTAAAGGTTTAAACCTTCGATCTTTATTCAAAGCACGAAGGACTTCTTGTGCAAACCTTTGCTGAAAATTAGGAAGTAATGTTGTTCCACCGATAAGCAGAATTGAAGAAAAAAGAGGGCGACGTAGATGCATTGGTGTCTAGTTATTGATTGATGAATAAATTGTTTGTTTAGTAAATATTATATTATTAGGAATTATTGAATCTTAATACAAACCTTTAACAAACATTCGAGTGCACATCCAACTATACTAGATTCATCTTCATCCCCTTCAAAAAGAACTTCTGCACAACGTTCTCTAATCCAACTAGGTATAATTAAAGTTCCCATTTGTCGTTCTCGTCCATTTTTACTTAAAGTAATGGGATATGACACTTCTGTTGCGGAACTAACTGAAGAATATTTTGCTTCCATATCTTCGACTAACGTTTTTTCAGCAACTCCAACTGTTGCTTCGACTGTTATTGGACTTACAAAAATAAACCGAGTTTTAATATCCTCAAGTACAGCGGGTGTAAGGTATTTAGGATGAACAGCCACTAAGTTTGTCGAAGGTGGAATAATCATGCTACCAGAAGCAGAAATTAACTCCTTGAGCCGTTGCGTTAACGCACGGCCTGCTAAAGGTGTTGTACGAACAAAGGGTGTCAAAGGTCGTGCAGAAAATGTCTATAATAAAATAAATAATTTAATTTTAGATAAAAAGCCAGATAAATCAATTTTATTGCTAACTTACTGGTAGCACAGTCGTTTCTAAATGTCCAACATCTATTACTAAACCTGTCGTACAGCCTGTAGTTAACAAGGCTAACATATGCGACGGAGCGAAAGAAATAGATGGCACCTACAATTTAAAAATAAAATAGTATTAATAACCATAATTCTAAATAGTATATATTAATCATATGAAAAAGTTGTATGAAAAAGTTGCATGCCTGTAAATTTTCAAACAATACTTTTGCAATCAGTTGCTTCAACTTTAAAGGCATCATCGGTGATTCGCATAATACGACTTTGCGCTGCTTAGGATCTGTTAATAGGTATCTTAAAAATAGTTTTAAGGAAAATGGATAAAGTTTAAGAAAGAGAACGACATGGGTAAACAAATGATTCGTAATTGAGTTCTTTACATACTTGAAATAAATCTCTCTTAAATAATGTGCCAAACGATCATATAAAGCATCATCGGGACACTTTCCGATTTCTAAGTCGTATAATTCAGCAAACTGTATTATGTCAATTTATCATTCGAAGAAAATCGCTAAAAATGAAGTAAAAATTTTCTTAAAAACACGTATCATACCTCGCCAATGGTTCTACAACCTTCTCCACAAGCTTTCACAACGCCTCCACTTCCATTAAAATCAGGATCCCAATGGGTTTTCATATTACCAGCAAACACAGGAACAATGTGTCTTGGCCTAGATTCACCACTAAAGCCAGCTTTAATATATAAGCTTCCTAGATCTAGCACGATCCTATCTTCACCAGTTCCATAGATTGAATGACGACGTGGGAGAGCCGTTGTCAAAGAGCCGCCAGTAGTAAAACTACTACCTACCGAGGTAGAAGGGAGGACTCGACTTAGGGGTGTAGCAGAAGCCATTGTTCGTGCTTGCGAACCGCCAGCTGTAGTGGGAGTTGAGGATGAAGTATTATCCATTACAAAAAATGTGTCGCAATGTCCAATATTGGATATGCTTATTTTGTTGCACATTTTGCATGTGATCTTTTTTAACAAAGGAACAAAACTTACGTTTTTGATACTCTCGCTAAAATTTTTTATACCGATACCGATACTCTTTATTAAACCACGGTTCATATCACTAACTAACCTTTAGTGATCCGGCGACCCGGTTTTAATTTTTTCTTAAAAAAATTTTTTTTTAAAAAAACTTTCTTTTATATGCTAAAGAATTTTTTTTAATAATAATGATGTACGAACAGATTCGTATTTTACATAGTCAAGTAAAAATCAAGTACGTAGCTGCATAACGTAATCGTTCTTAAACCAGGAACGTAGAATGATCATT